AGACTATGGTTATACCTTGACAGAGTAACTGTAGGCAAGTCCATACTAGGAGTTTCCTAGACTATGGTTATACCTTGACAGAGTAACTGTAGGCAAGGCCATACTAGGAGTTTCCTAGACTATGGTTATACCTTGACAGAGTAACTGTAGGCAAGTCCATACTAGGAGTTTCCTAGACTATGGTTATACCTTGACAGAGTAACTGTAGGCAAGGTCATACTAGGAGTTTCATAGACTATGGTTATACCTTGACAGAGTAACTGTAGGCAAGGCCATACTAGGAGTTTCATAGACTATGGTTATACCTTGACAGAGTAACTGTAGGCAAGGCCATACTAGGAGTTTCCTAGACTATGGTTATACCTTGACAGAGTAACTGTAGGCAAGTCCATACTAGGAGTTTCATAGACTATGGTTATACCTTGACAGAGTAACTGTAGGCAAGTCCATACTAGGAGTTTCATAGACTATGGTTATACCTTGACAGAGTAACTGTAGGCAAGTCCATACTAGGAGTTTCATAGACTATGGTTATACCTTGACAGAGTAACTGTAGGCAAGGCCATACTAGGAGTTTCATAGACTATGGTTATACCTTGACAGAGTAACTGTAGGCAAGTCCATACTAGGAGTTTCATAGACTATGGTTATACCTTGACAGAGTAACTGTAGGCAAGTCCATACTAGGAGTTTCATAGACTATGGTTATACCTTGACAGAGTAACTAGGCAAGTCCATACTAGGAGTTTCATAGACTATGGTTATACCTTGACAGAGTAACTGTAGGCAAGTCCATACTAGGAGTTTCATAGACTATGGTTATACCTTGACAGAGTAACTGTAGGCAAGTCCATACTAGGAGTTTCATAGACTATGGTTATACCTTGACAGAGTAACTGTAGGCAAGTCCATACTAGGAGTTTTATAGACTATGGTTATACCTTGACAGAGTAACTGTAGGCAAGTCCATACTAGGAGTTTCATAGACTATGGTTATACCTTGACAGAGTAACTGTAGGCAAGTCCATACTAGGAGTTTCATAGACTATGGTTATACCTTGACAGAGTAACTGTAGGCAAGGCCATACTAGGAGTTTAACTATGTTAAACCTTGACAGAGTAACTAGGCAAGTCCATACTAGGAGTTTCCTAGACTATGGTTAAACCTTGACAGAGTAACTAGGCAAGTCCATACTAGGAGTTTCATAGACTATGGTTATACCTTGACAGAGTAACTGTAGGCAAGTCCATACTAGGAGTTTCATAGACTATGGTTATACCTTGACAGAGTAACTGTAGGCAAGTCCATACTAGGAGTTTCATAGACTATGGTTATACCTTGACAGAGTAACTGTAGGCAAGTCCATACTAGGAGTTTCATAGACTATGGTTATACCTTGACAGAGTAACTGTAGGCAAGTCCATACTAGGAGTTTCATAGACTGACATAGGCAAGTCCATTATAGACTATGGTTATACCTTGACAGAGTAACTGTAGGCAAGTCCATACTAGGAGTTTCATAGACTATGGTTATACCTTGACAGAGTAACTGTAGGCAAGTCCATACTAGGAGTTTCATAGACTATGGTTATACCTTGACAGAGTAACTGTAGGCAAGTCCATACTAGGAGTTTCATAGACTATGGTTATACCTTGACAGAGTAACTGTAGGCAAGTCAATACTAAGTGTCTTTATCTTCTTTTGAGAAGGATCGGCATGGTTATCAGCTGTTACATCACAATGTGAAGTGATCAAGTCATAGATATGAGGGTGAAGTGCAGCAAGTCGTAGATATGACGGTGAAGTGCAGCAAGTCGTAGATGTGATGTAAAGACTCCTTGTTAACAGTTTGGTCCAAGTGTATTGGCTAAGTCAGTTTACAAACACTTGGTGATATTATATATTTTGTTATATCTCCCCACTTGACATTGTATACATTTTTCTTATCTAATGTATATATGAATACATGTTAACTACCTTACAGTTGCCTATCCCTTTACAAACACTATTTATATAACATGTCATGTTAGTCTGATAGATGCGGAGGATGTCCGTATGTGGGTCCCCAACTCTGTCTGTTATAGTCACTTTTATATGCGTTCATATTTTAATGTTTAACAAATGTACATGTTGACAGTTTGTTACTAAATTCAGGTAAAAAATATCAGATGTAGTTTTTACCTTCACATTCTATTTACTATTACATTTTCACATGTTATGAAATGTAATTTTTCTGATAATATGAACTTTGTAAATATATGAATACCAAATTGTAGTTAGTATGTATTTGAATAAACCTTTTAAATGTTTCTTGTTGCAAGGTTTGAATGTTAATAAGGTTCTAGTTTGCGACTAGTTTTCATTTGATGAGAATTGATATACAATTACAAAAAATGGTTTCCAGTTAAATTCACTTTAGGCCAGACCAATTTTATTTGTTGTTTTACGGATCCGCCAGTCATATTTTTTCAAGAATAAGAAAAAATGTATAAATGAATTTATACTTACAAGAAATGTTTTTTAGATTGTTTACTTCATAAATTGCCAAAAGTAAAATGCTTTTAGCATTTAAAAGGGATATTACTTTGACTGGTGATTTTTTTTTTTCTTTTTCCCCTCCTGCCTTTAGGTTTTCTGAGGAAAAAAGTCTGTAAAACAAGTAAAAAATTGGTCTGGCCTTATAAATGTTTTCTTGAGAGGATAAATTTTGTAATGGTCAATCTGTGTTTCAAGTTGATGAGAATTAGAGGATTACTTTGTTTATTTAGTCTGTTACAGATTTGTCTTGACAAAGTAAGCGGCTCTCTCATACAGTTATGAAACAATAAGACCAAAACATTTTGGAGAATATTTAGGATTGAAATTTGCAAGAAATATATATATATTTCTGTTCATATTACTAGAATAGTTACAGTATGTGTACATCTTGAAACAAGAGATTTTCTTGCAGTTTTATCTCAGTTGGATGGAACAGTTATTTTACTGATAAGTTATATTTTTTTAAGGTGGATTCTGCAATTATTCCTTTTTGTTAATGATTACAACATGCAATTTTTAAGTTTATCACGAACGTTATGCAATTCGTACTGTATTCATTAACTACGCAACATCTTAGAATATTAATTGTTAATTAGTTTTACAGGCATACTTTCAAGTTTGTATATGCAGTCCTGGTTTTCCCCGAAGTGAATCAAATGTCCACCTTTCATATCACCAAATGTCAAAACTGTCCATATTTTACTTCAGTGTCATTGGCACGTTTGTTGTTACTCTGAGTAACGTTTCCAAGACGTCCCAGGTTTTGGTCACAACCTTTGTAAAAATATCTATCTATTGTCCTCAGAGTTTATTCATATATGAACCATCGCACTAATAATGTTGAGTAAATTTCCCCAAGAAACTTGTCTTTAGTGTTCATAATGAGGTCTTTCACTGCCTCTTTTGCTAAAGATATTCTCTGGTTGACAAGGACTGCTGTTACTCCATAGAATAGACACGTTGTCCTCACCCTGAGGACAGAGGAGGATGCTATCTGACTTATATCATGTGTAAAGTGAAGAACTTGCACAAGCATGTTAAACCATGAAACCTGTCTCCTTCCCGTCTTGTCAATCCAACCAATCGAAACAGTGAACATAACTCCCAGTTGTGATATAATGGCGGTATACACCCACCTGCTCCTGCACGCAGTGTTGACAGTATGCCTGTGAACTGCTGGTACAATGAGTGTAATGTATTTCATGTAGCAGCACCTAATTTATTTCCCTCTATCTATTGGACATTTGTATCTGTTCTCTCTGTCTTGTATAAAGTTGTTCTCCCCTGCTCTGGACTAGATGCAATAAACACTAAAGAAGCATGATCTTGTTTTATGTTGTTTTCATGGTTGTTGGGTAGGAACGTAACACACACGAGGTTCATTGAAGGTGTAGCCCCCTGCAGGTGCATGAGTATCGATCTATACAATTGGGATACAATGACGTGTCAACCAAATCTGCGAGCCTGACCACCGATACCGTTAGTTGTCTCTTATGACAAGCTTGGGTTGCCTCGTATGCCGTCAGAATGCAACCCCAAAGAGCCACTTGCAGTGCCTCAGATAACTAGTCCACTGACTAGTCCAGGTGGTGCCTGCAATGATGTGTAATGTTCCTTGACAACACATGGCATTCAACGCCAGGAAGGTGAAGATTTTGTGACTTTGTGTTCAATATAATTGTTTGATATTATCATATGTGATTGATATTATTGTTTGTGTGAGATATTATTGTTTGTGTTTAATGATATTTTTGGTCCAAAGGGGAGTCCTACACTTCACTTAACTGCTGTCTCACATCCGTCAAACAGATAAGGAACACTAACAGCAACTGATGCAAGCTCATATTCGAACGTTTAATGTGAAAATACTTTCAAATACCATAATGGCAAGACATCTAGGCAATAAATCCTTATATACCAGGAAGTGACATATCTGAGGGTGAGTGAGTGAGTTTGGATTTACGCCGCTTTTAGCCAAATTCCAGCAACATCACAGCGGGGGACACCAAAAATTGGTTTCACACATTGTACCCATGTCGGGGAACTCAAACTCGGGTCTTCCCAGTGAGTGAGCGAGCTGGGTTTTAAGCCGCTTGTAGCAATATTCCAGCAATATCACTGCGGGGGACATCAGAAATGGGCTTCACACATTGTACCCATGTGTGTCTTCAGCGTGACGAGCGAACGCTTTAACCACTAGGCTACCACATCGCCTCTATCTGAGTGTGAATCTGACAAAAACATGAACAGAAAAAAACAAACATCCGCTGCCGATCAGTTATTTCTGACAAACATGTTTCTCATGCTTTTCTGTCACACATATGATTTGTGTTTACATACCGGCATACCTGTCATAGTGTCGCTGAACCCTTAATATTTTTCTGAGAAACAGTCTAGAAAATGTTAAAACTGTGGTGACTATGACTAGGAACTTTGACTATTAATTCATGGGACACATAATCAGCTGCTGTTAGTTTAATATCATAAACACATTTCTTGATCTCAAACATTACGTCAGTCAATCTTTTGATGTAAAATGTCACAATTAATCGTCATGAAGTTATGGATGATATCATCTTTGATTATTTACGACAATGTGCCCACATCATTGTTATAGGCCTCTAAGCAAACAATGAAACAATGGAATAATTGGTATAATACTCAGCAGTGAAAACATTATAACAGTTTCATCTACATCTTAAAAGTACGAGAAACTGTACCTCACTGAGAAAGTGTAATCCCATAACATGTGTTACATTTGATAACTTTGATAATAGCATCCAGTAAACATGAAATTTCAACCTATTTCATTTTCAATAAACATTTTTTTTATCTGCAATACACATTAACACAATTATACTGGTGAACAGAATCATCAAGTCTTGACACATGACAAACCCATAAAGAATTACTGTAAATGTTTTTAGATATGCATTGAGAAATATATAATAATAGAGTTATTATGCCTTGCTAGAATTTAGGTAGAGGAGGCAATTCTTGTGTTAACAATGGATTTACAAACTTGGTAATTTGTTTATCGGCTCAACATTTGAGATAACAATCAACTGGAGGCTCTAAAGCCTGTGAAGTAAGCTGAAATCCACGTTGACTCCGGTCTATATTGACCCAGAGCTAAATACCCTCAAAGACATCGAGCCATGGTTTAAGCCATATTTGTGGTCGGTCAGAGTAATGGCCGTTTTAGACCCATTATTACAATAATGACAAGAAGAATATGTTACTCAAAAGCCTGGACTTACATACAGTGACAAGGTACTGCAAAGTGAAAATCAACCAAGAAAGGGGACCTTGTCACAACTCTGATGTCATAGGGCCCAAGGACTGCCCTTAGCCTCAAACACAAGTATTGTCTTTACTCAACACTCTCATGTACTCAGCATTATTTCTCTCACATGTACAGAATCACAGCCACTGATGTATTGTAATAAGTCTTTGTTCCTCGTCTTCATTCATGGAATGAGCTATATAGTCTCTAATCTGAGCAGTTGAATCACAAGTTTGATTTGGGCTGACGAATCACAGGCTTGTTTACAAAATCTCTCCACCAATCAGGTCGCTGCAGCACCTCTTCTCCCTGCATCATGGCGCCATATAGGTTCTTGTAAATCTGAAGAGAGAAGCATGCCAGAAGTGTTTCATACACACTAGAATTGGTCTGTCCAAATATACTAGCCACATAAAGAAACTGTGCACGCAGAAAATTCCTTCAGAATTGGAATACAACACAGAGAAGATGAAATTACGTAGACACTTTAGAAGCTGAAGTATCGGACCACAACAAAATGTCAAAAGAACATGAACAATATTCGTAACGGTGACGTCAGAAGTTCTAAATTGAGTACGGCGTCACATGACGAAGTCACAAAGTCAATAACGGGTATGACCACCATGTGCGTGAAGCACAGCAGTGCATTGACAACGCATAGAGGCTATACCAAATGAGCATTGAAGGCATGGGGAATGATCTTAGACGTGGTCACTGCCACCTGGAACCTGTGTCTGAGATGAGTCACCGGAATCCATCGGTCCTGTCTTGGCGTCGTTACGTCAGAGATGCCCAGAACGTGGGTGGTTGGCGACGTCATTCGTGTTTCCATAACGTCTGGGCAATGCAGATTTCGTGTTACGTTGGCATTGGAAATGTGCTGCCACCTGTTGTTGGCTTATTCCTGCTCGAACCATTCCAATGGCTTCTTGACGTTGAGCAGATGTTAATCTTGGCATGATGTGCATGTGACTTATGAATTTGTGAACGTTTGAATGACCAAAGATCAAGCTTTTGACAGTGACAGCAATTTCTGAGTTTCACATGTTGTGTGCAGCTGCGCGGGCTGCGCGAGCAGAAACATTGCAAGTCCATAGGCCACCATCAATGACGTCACGTTGCTGGCACGTGCATGAGCGTTTGATTGTCTCCAATACTTGCTATGTTTACACTTGTATTTATGTACAAAGACGCTGTGTGCCTACATCAATATTTTCTGTGTGCACAGTTTCTTCATGTGGCCAGTATACCAGCAGATAGATAACTCTACTCAGTACTTCATGGGTTGGACCTCACTCAGCCCTCATCCAACATGAGGTAACCAAGGAAACAAGCCACGGCCTGATTCCAGTGGGGGTTATACAACAGCACTACATTGACGCAAGTGGCAATTTCAGCAGTTGTGTAACTGTCAATGAAAGGTTCAACAGGTAGGTCGGGCTATCGTGTAAACTCATCTGTCAATCTGATTGTCTTACAGGTTTATTTCACACATGTAACCTGATGCTCAAATGGGTTATCTGGGATACTGTGTAACTCACCTGTCCATCTGATGCTCCGATCGGTGAGTTGAGGATGAAGTCAGTTGGCGCCATCACATCGACAAGAGCGACAGCGTCGTACTTCAGCTCCTGACACAGACGGAGGATGGCCTCCCTCACAACACGTGGAGGACTGCTACCTGTGATGTAGCCACCTACAAATGCATGGATAGTATGTAAGTATACTTTTACGCTGCTTCTAGCAATATTCCAGAAACATCATGGCAGCATACACCAGAAATGGGCTTCACACATTGTACCCAGTCAGAGTATAACTGAGCACCATTGGTCATATGTTTTGTATAGAGGGAAGTCAAAATTTCAGAATCTTTTATTGGTGTTTATACAACGTGACATGTGATCCACATTCCTTTGTCTGGACATATCTGTCGTGTAAAAGCTTCAAGGTTATCTTCTATATTTCCCTGCCTATTAATACCAGATATATCTGTCGTGTAGAAGCTTCAAGGTTATCTTCTATATTTCCCTGCCTATTAATACCAGTCATAAACAGTATTCTGGGGTCCATGAGGTTTGTTTGTATTATATGAGGAAACAATGTGGTCAGGCATTTCTCAACCCTTCAGGGACGGTGGGGTAGCCTAGTAGTTAAAGCGTCTGCTTGTCATGCTGAAGACCCAGGTTCGATTCCCCACATGGGGTCCCCCGCTGTGATATTGCTGGAATATCGCTTAAAGCGGCGTAAATCCATACTCACTTCCTTCACTTCTACCCTGGTAAAAAGTGGTCAGATGTTTCTCAATACTCCACCCCTCTGAGCTGTATATTACATACCCTGGTACAAAGTGGTCAGATGTTTCTCAATACTCCACCCTTCTGAGCTGTATATTACGTACCCTGGTACAAAGTGGTCAGGTGTTTCTCAATACTCCACCCCTCTGAGCTGTATATTACATACCCTGGTACAAAGTGGTCAGATGTTTCTCAATACTCCACCCCTCTGAGCTGTATATTACATACCCTGGTACAAAGTGGTCAGATGTTTCTCAATACTCCACCCTTCTGAGCTGTATATTACGTACCCTGGTACAAAGTGGTCAGGTGTTTCTCAATACTCCACCCCTCTGAGCTGTATATTACATACCCTGGTACAAAGTGGTCAGATGTTTCTCAATACTCCACCCCTCTGAGCTGTATAGTACATACCCTGGTACAAAGTGGTCAGGTGTTTCTCAATGCTCCACCCCTCTGAGCTGTATATTACGTACCCTGGTACAAAGTGGTCAGGTGTTTCTCAATGCTCCACCCCTCTGAGCTGTATATTACATACCCTGGTACAAAGTGGTCAGATGTTTCTCAACCCTCCACCCCTCTGAGCTGTATATTATGTACCCTGGTACAAAGTGGTCAGATGTTTCTCAATACTCCACCCCTCTGAGCTGTATATTATGTACCCTGGTACAAAGTGGTCAGATGTTTCTCAATACTCCACCCCTCTGAGCTGTATATTATGTACCCTGGTACAAAGTGGTCAGGTGTTTCTCAATACTCCACCCCTCTGAGCTGTATAGTACATACCCTGGTACAAAGTGGTCAGATGTTTCTCAATACTCCACCCCTCTGAGCTGTATAGTACATACCCTGGTACAAAGTGGTCAGATGTTTCTCAATACTCCAACCTTCTGAGCTGTATAGTACATACCCTAGTACAAAGTGGTCAGGTGTTTCTCAATACTCCACCCCTCTGAGCTGTATAGTACATACCCTGGTACAAAGTGGTCAGATGTTTCTCAATACTCCACCCTTCTGAGCTGTATATTACGTACCCTGGTACAAAGTGGTCAGGTGTTTCTCAATACTCCACCCCTCTGAGCTGTATAGTACATACCCTGGTACAAAGTGGTCAGATGTTTCTCAATACCTCACCCTTCTGAGCTGTATAGTACATACCCTGGTACAAAGTGGTCAGGTGTTTTTCAATGCTCCACAGGCCAAACAGGGAGCACAGGCGGGTCAGCACAGGCTTCAGGCTGGCAGGTGTTTCCTCTCCATTGTTTTCCTCCAGCAGCTTCACAAATCGGTCCAAGACATTCAGCTACAAACAAAAGACCCTCATGTCAGTGACAGCAACTTCCAGATGTTTCCTCTACAAGGGCTGCTGTACCAGTTTGTTCAACACTATTAGTCACATGGTGTTTCCAAAGGGTGTATGGGACTGTAAGACCCTTGTAAATTCCATATTTCCTTTGCTGCAAGTGTAAGACCCTTGTAAATACAGAATTTTACAAAGGTCTTACAGTCCTGTACAACCTTTGAAAACACCATGTGATGAATTTATTACCCTTAAGATTTCTTTATTTAGCTTATCTTTAAAAAACAACATTCAATCTTTGGCAGAATGAGATGCAAAACCTTTCGCCATGACTTTTCCTGAACGGTCATAAAGGGAGATAACTCAGGATGGTTTAGTTTATGATAAAAATTATCAAATATGTAATTTTTTGAGTAAAATTGATATTTTATACTTATCCTGACTCATGCTCTTTTGCTTGTCCCCTTCCTCTTGCAAACATAGTGGAACACTTGTATCTCCTTAATTGAAGCTCCCTTCAATGTAAAATCACTAATTGGTACTCACCCACGAGTTACCTCCCCTGCCGTAAGCGCGGGAACAGGTGTCGCCATCCTCTGGCCTCATGCTTCACTCTCTCCTGATTTTGCGAGCCCAACACTTGAATTTACAGGGAAATCCAAAGTGTGATGTGGGGAGGATGGGAGGGCTAACCTCATGAGTCAGGATAAGTATAAAATATCAATTTTACTCAAAAAATTACATATTTTTCCTTATCCTGACTCATGCTCTTTTGCTTGTAGAATCCACCGGAGAGGTGGTGGGTAAACAGAATACTTTGGATTATAATTAGTGATTTAAGTAAGTGATATTGTAATAACCCCTCTTGGGAACTTCATAAGGCATTGAGACTTAGGATATTTCCTTTATAATAAGCCATAGATATATACACTATAAGTGGGGTATTACCTTACTAATATACTGATATATCAATATATATATAAACTGCTACTCTATCGTAGCTGTACACTGAATATAACTCAGTATGAGCTTAAGGTTGAATAACCTAAGCTAAATATATACATAGCCCTAGAACTCCATGGAGTTATAAGCTAATGAATATATGTATCATATATATAATAATCTCGTGGGGGTGAATATTAACGCCCTCACGAGGGACTGTCAATTGCTGGCGAGGACCAAAGGACCGAAATGATGAATGCCAGAGGCGCCCTCGGTGGTGATATCTCTGAGATAGTGATTAGCAAACACCATGTTAGATTTCCAAAAGCATCCTTCCATAATTGTATTCAATGAACAGTTACCGTGAAGGGCAAGGGTGGATGCCAATGCCCTGATTTCATGGGGATTTGATGCTGTTGGAGGGTCCAGTCCTGCTGCCTTATAGGCGCGTAAAATGACAGTTCTTATCCATATAGATATGGTGGTACGAGAGACTTCTGTCTGATTTGTAGGCGATAGGGATGAACAATCTTCTGGCGATCTTAGCCTTGTTTTGGAACAGCCATAAATAGATTATGAGAGCTCGTACTGGGCATAGAGATAAGTCCAATGTATCTTGAGATCCGAGAATTGAGGATAGCGCAGGGATGTGAAATAACCTGTCTGGTTGACCTGGTAGTTGATTTTTGGCGATGAAATCCCATCTTAATCCCAAGTGCGCTGTCTTTTGATTGTCATCAAACTGTATCCTCTCATAATCTAGAGCATGAATTTCAGATATTCTGGCTGCCGTGGCTAGCGATAACAGGAAGACTGTTTTCTGTGAGAGAAATTCAAATGTTGTCGATTCCAATGGTTCATAATCCTCACTTGTGAGGTGTCGTAAAACTACATTCAGATCCCAAGCTGGGGCGTGGAACTTCCGCTTTTGGTCCTCCAATGCGGGCACGCATGTAGTAAGGCCAGTAACTCTGGTGTTCTTGTTAATTTAACACCCGTTCTCATAGAAATCACAGAACTAAAGCTGCAAGATATGTTGACAATGTCGAGCCTTTTAAATGTTTGTTTTGCCGTAAGTAACACAAATAGTCTGCCACTTGAGGATGCGTGGCATCTCTCACTGTAAAACCCTTGTTTGCTGCATAATTTTGAAACTTTGCCACTTGTCATCGTACAAGCCACGCAGCGTTGAGTATCGTAAAGGCAAAGCGTGACGCTTTTGCCGCCCTGGTAGAATATCCTCTCTTGTTTAAACACATTTTAATACAGTCCATGCATGAAGTTTGAATACTTCTGGGTTTCTGTGCACCTGTTTGGTGTGAGGATGTATTAACAGGTTTTGCGGCGCTTGGGTAGTTCTAGTGCCGGTTGACCCGATATCTTGTATTAGAGGAAACCACGTTCTGGCCGGCCAATAGAGAGCGACCAAAGTGAGTTGTAGGCTCTGCGTTTGGTTGATTTTCTGTAATACTAGAGGTATTATTGCTGGAAGTGAAACGCGACGCGCATTGAGGCCTTCCCATGATATGCTTAGAGCGTCTGTTGCCCATGCTTGTGGGTCTGGCACTGGTGACACGAATGTCGGTAGTTGATTGTTGAACCTTGTGGCGAATAGATCTACTAGCGGCTCCTATTTGCTTGGTTATCTGTGCAAATATCTCTGTACTGAGCATCCATTCTGTCGTGACGGTAGATGTGGCGAGAGAGTGCGTCTGCTAGTATATTCCTGGCTCGGGGAATGTGGCATGCTTTGACATGTAGATTTAGATCTTGGATTAATTCGAACAGTTGAAAGGTTAAATTCAAAAGGTTCGGCGATCTCGTTGAGCCTTGTCTGTTCACATAAAGCGCCACTGTCGAGTTGTCGGTATGTATCATCAGGCGCATTCTGTAGAATGTTGCTCCAATGTCTTATGGCGTTGATTACAGCTTTCATCTTTAATGCGTTTATGTGGAGTTTGCTTTCTAGCTGAGTCCATAACCCTGATGCCGTCGGTTGGAGAGATGAGCTCCCCAACCTTGGGCGGCAGCGTCTACATATAGATGGGTTTTGAATTCCTGCTCTGCTAAACAAATCCCTTCGCAGACATTCGATTTCTTTGTCCACCATAATAGATGAGGTCTGAGATGTTTGGTAGACTGAATGGTTGTAGGTCGTCGAGATGTGTATTGGCGAAGACCTGTAATGGGCGTAACTGTAATCTGCCTATGACTGTCAAGTCTTGGGCTGATGTTAGAAGACCTAGTAAGCTCTGCCATTGTCGAAGTGGTAGCGCAGAAAGTAGAGCTGGTGGAATGATCTGTTGGATCTTGAGCCAACGGTCTTCTGAAATACGACTATACGGTTGAGATTGGTGATAAATCAGTTCCTAGGAATTGCAGATCTTCGCGATGGTACTAGGTCCGACTTGTGTAAGTTTACTAACCATCCCAGCTGTGTTAGTAGCTTTATGATGTAGTTTAACTGTAGTTTGAGATGCTGTGGATCTTGATCTACTTGTATCCCGTCGTCGAGGAAGAGCACTCGCATTAGCCCTTGGACCGATGTAGATAGGTAACTGTCGGTTTCGTTATTATCGTGAATAACCATGGGGCTGATGCTATTCGAATGGGGAGTACTTTCCACTGGTAATGTAACCCGTCTAGCGTAAACCGAAGGTATTTCCTGGATTCGGGATGTATCGGGATGTGCAGGTAAGCATCTTGTAGATCTATACTGCCCATGTATTCCATGGGGCGAATCATCTGCCGTAGCTGCGGTAGATGTATCATAGTGAACCTGGGTGGTCTGCTTAAGTAAGTCTTGTTGAAGAAGCTCATGTTGTAAATGAGTCTGTATTTCTCCTTGGAGTTCTTCTTGGGTACTAGGAAAACTGGGGAGTAGAAACCTGGTTCGATGTTTCCTTGCTCTATTACTTCTATGGCCTGCTTGGTTAGGAGTAATGTAACCGCCTCTCTTAACTTTAGTAGTTGTTGTGCCTGTACCTCGAACTTGTGAGGGTTGACTGTTAGTGGAGGCTTGGCCTGTAGTGGGATACGAAATCCGCGTTGAAGAATGTTGGAGACATAGGTGTCTTGCAGTATTCCCCAGTTTTCCCAGTGTAGTTGAAGACGTCCACCCACTTGTGGCGGTTGTACTGGAGCGGCTGGGGGTGGAAGACTCAGTCGTTCGAACCTGTCTTTCAGCGTTTATAGTTCGCGGGAACCTCTGGGTGTCCTGCCTCGTCCTGACCCTCCTCTATAGTTGCCATATGGGCCACGAAAAGAATCTCTTCCCTGGAACTGGCAATCTTCCTGTCTCTAGCTCTTTGTAGGCCCGTGAATTTAGATCTCCTGAGTATCTTTGTGAAGTCTGTCGAATGACACTGGCTAGCGTGTCCATCGATTTAATCATCAGGACTTCTCTAGAATCCTTGGTGACTTCTTTGGAGACTCTGTCTATTCCTCCGTCAAATATGGATGGGGAAGACCACGGGGCTGTATATAGTGGAGCTGTAAAGTTCTCACCCCAGTTGCAGGAAGCTAGGAGGCCTTGACGACGAGCTAAGGTCAGTGCTGCTGAGACAGACGTCAGATGATCTGTTAAAAACTGCTGGTCCTTCTTTTGCATCAGTAGGGCCGAGTAAATCATTCTGTCATCTTCAGAGGTCGTGTTCCGAAATCTGGAGATAAGTGTCTCATTGATTGTTCTAGATCTATTTAGACCAAAGAACATCGCGCTTCGTCATGGTTTCTATCTGAACCAATTTCCGATCATCAATCTTGTAGTACTTGTTCTTGGCATCGGAGATCAGCTTATAGTTCTCATCGATGTCTTGCGCTTTGAAGAAGGGGTCCATATTATGCGTGGAGAACTTCTTGGAGCTGAAATTTGGCAGATGTGGCGTCTGAACCTTTGTGGCTTTGTTAAATGCTGTATCTAGGTTCTGAGGTACGCCATGCTAACGGGTCGATTGGGGTAGTGTAATAGCATCTCGCGTCATCTTCTTTCATCAGATAAGTCTGCGCCTTATTGCCACTCTTGGAAGGTGATGAGAGATCTAGATTATTGACCATCCAAT